AAAGTATTCAATAGTTTGCAGTCTGAGTCCTAGTATTTAGAGGTGGTCCATCAAGTTTAAATAATGTGTGAACTTTAAAAGAAAAATTTCTGGGGTTAGAGAGATGGCTCAGCTGTTAAGAACACTGGCTGCTTTTGCAGAGTTTCCAGCAGCCATGTGGCAGCTAGCAGCTATCTATAACTCCAGTTCCAGAGGATCTGATACCCTCTTCTGACCTCCATGGACATTGCACTACATGGGTACACTTACACACATGCAGGCAATACACTCAAACACATAAAATAACAATAAAAACAATAAAAGATCAAAATGTCTAAGAACTTGCGGTTTTGAAAAACCATAATAATGACATGTATTTCATGTCACAAGTGGCAATTTTTGTGTACATTGATCATCCTATACTTGACCTGAGGATCATGTTAACTTCAATTTTAGAGACTGACAATTTTCTTTTATCCTCTCTCTCTCTCTCTCTCTCTCTCTCTCTCTCTCTCTGTTATCTAGTATGTGTTTGCTTGCTGGGGGGTTCGAGCCAGCGACCCCTGCGCAGTGATGATTGGGGATGAGTAAGCGCGCCGTTCACCAGCCCACGCCGCCCCCAGTACCAGGGACAATCAGACGCAAAGTGGAGTCTAGTCAAGCAGGGACTCATTTATTGCAGGTGTTACAGAGCTTATAAAGGCACCTGGAATCCCCCCCTCCCCAGGGTGTATCTTAAGGATGGTCACTCGCTGATCATGACTCCTCAGCAGTGTGGAAGTATCCTTCAGACTTTTAAAACAAGTCAGGCTGCACCCCAGCAACTTCCTCTCGGACCTCTGCAAGGCGGGGCCTTTAGGTCCCCACAGAAGTGAACCACCAGTGACAAGTACTGGGAAGAGGGCAAACAAGGGACCCGGTGTGGTGGCTCATGACTGCAGTGCCAGCATTTGGATGTCTGAGGCAGGAAGATTTTTGTGAGTTTAAAGCTAACATAGGCAACATAGCAAATTCTGGCTCAGCCTGGGCTGCAGAGGGACCCTGCCTTTAAAAAAAAAAAAAAATCAGTAAATAAACGGTAAAAAGGAACTGGGATGGAAGGGGCCAGTTTCCTTTAGATGATCGGAAAAAAATATCCTTGTGGTGATGCCTCTGAGCTGAAACTTGAATGAAGGGGATTTTAACCAGGGTAAGATGAGGAGTCAGACTGGGATGACTCCATCAGTAAAGTGCTGGCGTTATAAGCATGAGGATCTGAATTTTTGATCCCCAAAACCCATTTATAAAAAGCTGGATGTGTACTTGTAATCACAGCATTGAGGAGACATGGGGACTCCCTGGGTCACTTACTTGGTGAATTCCAGATCGGTGAGAGACTCGGTCTTAAAAAAATAAAAAAAATAAAAAAAAGGTGGACAGGTTCGAGGGATAGTTCATTAGGTGGGGTGATTGCTGCACAGACATGAGGACCTGAGTTCAGATCTCCAGAACCCACATAAAAAGCCGGGCAAGGTGGCGTATGCCTGTAACTCCAGGACTAGGAAGGCAGAGATGGGTGGGTCCCACGGGCAAGGTGGCGTATGCCTGTAACTCCAGGACTAGGAAGGCAGAGATGGGTGGGTCCCAGAGACTCCCTGGCCAGCCAGTCTGACTACCCTAAATGGTGACCTTCAGTTCAGTGAGAGACCTTGTCTCAAAAGTTAAGTAGAGAAGGAACTGAGGAATACATCCAGACACCAACCTCTGGCTTCCATACATGCCCTTGTGGGTGAGTACCCTCCCTATACACATAGCCAGACGGTGCTTAAGGAATGACAGCAAGGTTGCCTTCTGGCCCCTGTACATACATACATGCATAAACATGTGCATCTACCTGCACACATGTGCAACATCTCACACACATAGTTTTCAGTAGAACACATACTTAATGTACATGAGGCCAATGTTCAATCCCCAGTATCAGAAAAAAAAGTCTCAAATTAAAAAAAAAATTTAATATGGCAAACATCCATACCACAAAATTTACCTTCTCCCCCCTCCTTCTAAGAATCAAGCACATTTACCATCTGACTGATTGACAGGTTTAGGAAGAAAAAAAAAACAGGGCTTTTCTATGCAGCCCAGGCTGACCTTGAATTTGTAAGATCCTCCTGCCTCAGTCTCCTATGGCTGGGATTATAGTTATGTGTTACCATGGACAGCTAAAATTTGTAATTTAAAAGTGCACAGTTCATGGGACTGGAGATATGGATCAGCAGTTAAGAGCACTGGCTGCTCTTGCAGAGGACCTGGGTTCTGTTCCCAACACCCACATGGCAGCTAACATGTCCTAACACCAGTTCCAGGAGATTCAATGACCTCTTCTGGTTTCCAAGGGCATTGTGTGCCTGGGTACACTTATATGCAGGCAAAAATACTCATATACAATAAATAACACTTGAGAGAGGAGGCGGGGGATGGGGATTAGGAGTCTAAGGCTGGCCTTGGACACATAATGAGTTTGAAGCTGGATGGGATGAGACCCTGTGATGGTTCATTTCAATTGTCAATCTGATGAGATCTAGAATCACCTGGGACACAAGAAAGGCCTCTAGACAGGACTGTGGGGGATTTTCTTGATTTGGGTTAATTGAGGTGGGAAAACCTGCCCACTATGGGTGGCACCCTTCCCTGGGTTGGAACACTGGGCTGGAACCCTGGGCTGGGACCCTGAGCTGGGACCCTGGACTGTGTAAAACGGAGAAAGCCAGCTGAGCACCAGCATTCATCTCCCTCTGCTTCCTGACTGTGGATGTGATGTGAGCAGCTGCTTCAAGCACTGCTGCCTTGACTTCCCCACCGTGAGGGACTGTGTCCTAGAACTGTGAGCCAGGATAACCCTTCCTTCCTGCTTTTCTCATGATAATTTATTACAGCAATAGGAAAGTAACTAAGACAGACTCTGTCTCAAAAATGAAGGAAAAACAAAGTATACGTTTAGGAACACAGAACAGATTTGCATTGCTGTGTAATTAATCTGTATCACTTTTTGCCCCTGGCAAAGCTTACTACCCACTGTACAACCACTCTGTATTCCATCTCCCTCAGCCTTTGACACCCACCATTCTACACATCTGAACTAGTTTAGTACTTCATGTGAGTAGACTCACACAACTGTCTTTTGTGTTTTCAGTGTTCATTCATCTTGTCTCATGGATAAGAATTTCCTTTTTTGAGTTCTGTGTGGTGGCATAGGCCTCTCACCCCAGCACTTGGGAGGTGGAGGCAGGAGGACCAGGAATTCATCATCTGCAGCTGCTTATGGCGTTCTATGCCAGTCAAGCTTACATGAGACCCCATATCAGAGAGAGGAGAGAGAGAGAGAGAGAGAGAGAGAGAGAGAGAGAGAGACATGGATAAGAATTTCCTTTTTAAGTCTGAATGAGATCCCATTATACAAATACAAGGTCATTTTTTTATAGACTTAAAGTCTTTTAAATTAAGGACTTCTGCTAGGTATGGTGGTGCACGCCTATAATGCCAGTACTCCAGAGGGTATATTAGTTACTTTTTCTGTTGCTGTAATAAAACACCATAACCAAGGCACCTTATAGAAGGAGAAGTTTATATGGCTTACAGTTCTAGAGGGTTAGAGTCCATATGGCAGGGACGCATGGCAGCAGAGGCAGCTGGAGCAGAAAACCAAGGGTCACATCCTCAAGCAGACACAGAAAGCAGAGAGAGACTGGAAATCCAGCAAGGCTTAAGAACTCTAAAAGCCCAGCCCCCAGTGACATGCCAGCAAGGCTGTGGCCCCTAAAACCTCCCGAAACTGTGCCACCAACTGAGGATGAAATGTCCACATACTTGGAGCCTGTGGGGGACAATCTCATTCTAGCCACTACAAGGGGAGAACAGGAGGATTTTGAGTTCAAAGTCAGCCTGGCCCATTCATGAAGCCCTGTCTAAAAAAAGGAGCCGTGGGGGGTTCGGCGATGTCTCAGCAGGTTAAAGGTACTTGCTATCAAGCCCGAGGACCTGAGTTCAGTCCCTGGGACCTACATGGTGTAAGGAGAAAATCGACTCCTGCAAGTTGTTCTCTGACTTCTACCCAAAAGCATGCAAGGGCATGTACACACACACACACACACACACACACACACACACACACAGGCTGGGGCTATAACTCAGTAGTAGAGTTTTTGCCTAGCATGTGCAAGGCCCTGGGTTTGATTTCTGTACCACAAGAAAAAAAAAGGGGGGTTTTATAGACATCTGAAAGAAGTAAGTTAAAATTTCACCCCATATATTTATTTTTCAAGATTTATTTTATTTTTAGGTGTGTGCATATTTGCATGTCTGTGTACAAGAATGTGCAAGGCCAGAAGAGAGCTTCAGGTTCCTGGAGTTTCAGGTGCCTGGAGCTAGAGACACCGTCAGTTGTGTGCCACTTGCTGTGGGTGCTGAGAACCAAACTCGCAAGAGCAATATACACGCTCAACCACTGAGCCACCTCTTCAGCCCCAACCCAGTATGTTTCTGGGAGTTAGGGCATAGCCTGTGACAGGAATCAGGGGTAGCCTTGAGTTTTCTGGAACCTTCTTGTCCATGTATTGTGTCATGCTTCCAGCTTATCCTGGCTGAAGCAGGCATTTAAAGGTCAGCTGTGCAAACCCATCACTCAGCAAGCCGGCTCAGGTATGTGAGGGGTCCTTCTAGGCCATCTCTCTTTGTCTAGGCCAGCAACCCAAGCAGGGTTTGCCACAGGGCATGACACTGCAGAATCAATGTATACACAAAGAAGTTGAGGGGGGTTCGATCCAGCGACCCCCATGCAGTGATGATCCGGGATGAGTAAGCGCGCCGTTCACCAGCCCACGCCGCCCCCAGTACCAGGGACAATCAGACGCAAAGTGGAGTCTAGTCAAGCAGGGACTCATTTATTGCAGGTGTTACAGAGCTTATAAAGGCACCTGGAATCCCCCCCTCCCCAGGGTGTATCTTAAGGATGGTCACTCGCTGATCATGACTCCTCAGCAGTGTGGAAGTATCCTTCAGACTTTTAAAACAAGTCAGG